AATCTGAATCTTGTTCTTTGTGCTGACTGAGTGCAGTGAAGAAGATTTACAAAATGGTTTGAGGTTAATGAAGGCCTTTCCGATTCTGACCTGCTTTGACATGTTCATCCGTTCCAACTGCCTGTAGTTGAAACGATGCAGCCGGGATAAGTGAAGGAAGTAACTTCTGTTAAATCTCTCCCGTTGATGGTGATTGTTGTTGTTGTTGCTGTTGGTTGGTTGGTTATCTTCATCACCTCCGTCTTTTTTATGTTCACCTGCAGTCTTGTCTTCACTGCCTGCTTTTTCGGCCAGTTTGTTGCTTTTCGCCCGTAGGTCTTCGAGTTTGTGTGACATTAAACAGAAATCATCCGCACACAAAATGTAGATCTTCTAGAGTTTTCTTATTAGTCCAACATATTCTTATCGTGTTTGTTAGGTGAGACTCGGTTAACCGGAACAAAATTGTTCATTTATTATACGATGAGTGATACTTACTACCCACTTCGGAGTGTTATTGGCTTATAATTTCGAGTCTAGTGTTCACTAGTGACTGATTCTACACGATGAAGTTATCTGGAAGTCATGATCACAAACAGGGGAGGAGGGAAGGGGGGTCCGTCAAACTGAACGAAAGGACAAATACTCGCCGATGATATATTGGCTGGCAGTGACGCTTTTTTATAGCCAATTAGTAAAGGTTAGAATTTGCTATTAGTAGTGTTCTCTGAGCTAGTTGGTTTAATTGCGAATCTTTCGTCGTCCACTTTCTAGACAACATCTTCAACACAATATTTAGCATAAAGTGAGATGTCCACTAGCGACTTGCCCTATTCAGGTAGGGGTTCTAGTGGGAAGTCGTGACCAGTGGGATGCAGCAAGGTCAAGTGAGGACAAATACTCGCCGAAGACATTGGCTAGTGGTCGTGCTATGTCGTGAATTGGCAGAAGTTAGACTTCATGGAATGGCCATTGGATCGGGTCCCAGTGGCTTAATGGTTTACGAGCTCGCCTTGCAACCGGAAGGTCCTGGGTTCGAACCCCGGTGGGTGCGTACTGCTGAAGAGTCCCAAACTAGGCTGATGAAACACCTGGCTGTTCAGAACTTCCAGGTTTTCTAATGGTTCTCTAACCAATGTCAGCTCATGATGAAATCCTGTAACCAATCAAATCCCTACAAACCAACACTTGAACTGATTTAGATTTTCTATGAATGATAGAATTGCGTCTCCTGGTAACCATCTTTACATATGTATTGATCATTTTTTATTGACTTGGATTTTAAACTTTCTCGTCACATGTGATTTAGTTTTTACGCCCACATTGGCCGATGATATATATGCCTGTTTCATATCAATGCATACAGATAATTATGAACACCAGTTTGATAACTGGGATAATGTCGAAATTTTAGACAGAGGAAACAACAAAAGCGCAGTTGGGGAATTCCTAGAAGCCTGGTACTCAAACGAAAATGCAATTAACAAACACGTTAATATAGACGAAATATACCAACTAATAAAAAGTAAATCATGTGACGAGAAAGTTTAAAATCCAAGTCAATAGAAAATGATCAATACACTTATGTAAAGATAGTTACCGGGAGACGCAATTTTATCACTCATGGAAAATTTAAATCAGTTCACTTTATGCTAAATATTGCGCTGAAAGGGAATGTTGCCCAGAAGGGAGACGATGAAAGCTCTACAACTAAACCAACCAGCTCCTCAGAGAACACTAATAATTGCAAATCATCCACCTGAGCTACAAATCTTCTCTATTATTTCAAAAGGTTAGAATTCATGGGCCATCAGATTCCCTCCCAGTGGTTGAATAGTCAACCAAGTTGTCTTGTAACCAAAACGCCCGCGTTCAATCCCTAGTGGGTTGATGGGTGTGTATTACTGAAGAGTCCTAAATGAAGACAAAACAACTGTCCAGTATTCCTAGCCGGTTACCAATAGTTCTCTAGCTAAAGTCAGTGTGTGGTGGTCACTTTTACAATTGATTGTAAATATTTAAAGCAAATGAACCATATTTACGCATTGAGCAAAACAAATGAGTGTCAAATGGGACGCAGACAAGAGCAGCAAGTAAAAAAGGGAATCTAGTGACAATAACAAGGAAAGAGAGAATAAGACTTGTGACCGCTTTAATTCAAAAAAAAGAGGAATGAAGCAAAAGGAGCTCAAGTGACTTTCTGTTAACCAGAATATCGTTCGCACACATGACGACGTCAACAAAAGTGAGTAATAGAATTATTTTTTTAATTCCTTTACGTTCCCAGTGGAATATATGGCGCCTTCAAGCTAGAGGCTTGAAGTTTCGATAGAATTGGCATTTATTTTTATGGGATGGGTTTGCTAGTCTCATGACTAACCTTCCCTTTTAGACAGTCTTATTACTGGTTTAGGGAGGTAAAGGAGTTCTTCGGTGGCCGGGGATCGAACCCCGGACCACATGCGTGGTTAGCGGGTATCCCTACCGCTGTGCCACCTACCCATGTAATTCAATACCTGACAAATACATTCCGGGAAGAGATCAACATCGATTTTTTTCCCTTCACGTTCCCATGGAACATAGGGCTTCAAGCTAGTGGCTTGAAGTTTCTGTAGCAGTGTTAATTTTTACAGGATGGGGTTGCTAGCCACATGCCGAGCCTTGCCTCTTCACCACCTTTATTTCTGGCTTAGCGAGGTGAAAGAAGCACCGGTCGGGGATCGAAGCCCGGACCATGTGCATGGTCGGCGAGCGTCCTAACCGCTATGCCACTGACGCACAACATAGATAAAACTAATAAAATATCGTGAAAGAAACCCAATTAACAGAGAGTGAATAAAACAAACAAAACTCTGGGCTAATCACTTCAAAGGACTCTTGAATCAACAATTACCGATAACTCGTCCAGAAATACCATCAACAACCAGTCTTCCTACAAAAGCAGAAGTCTTGAATGCTGTGAAGCTATTGAAAGCCGGGAAAACAGTAGGATCAGATGGAATTCTCCCACAACCACTGAAAATGGACCTAGACATCTCAGCAGGTATACTAATATCGTTATTGCAGAAGGTTTGGGGGAGAAGAAAAAGTACCTACGTTGTCAAACTCCTAAATTAGGGCAATTTAAGCCTTTGCAAAAAATGGAGTGGAAACATGTTCTTGTCCATGCCAGACAGGTCATCCTGGGGAGATTGAGACCATGCGCTGGATTCAGGAAAAGCTAATCATGTGCTGATCAAATCGCAACACTGCGTGTCATCATCGAACAGAGGATATAATGGCAGCCAAGTGTCTACCTCAATTTTATTGACTTTGAAAAAGCCTGAGATGACATTGATAGCGAAGTAATTTGGAAAATGTTTCAACACTACGGAGTGATATGGAAATCCACAAACCTAAGTCAACAGTTATATGCTGATGGCACATACCAAATGATACACTATGGAAAGCTCTGCGAAGGGCTTAAAGTGAGGACAGGAGTAAAACAAAGCTGCTCTCCGGATGGGATTCGAATGGGAAAAGATGAGTTCCGTTTATGAGGGTGATAGAGGAAATGAACGCTTATGGTCATTCCAAGAGATAGCTAAACAAAAAACATTGCAGAGAATACTGCAAAGTGCCAATGAACCGCTGGAACCCTAAGGTCCACAGGGAAACCTGGGCAGTAATGAGATAATATAATTCAGAATAGATACTGACATGAAATAAGAACATCAGTGTTTGAGTGCTCTTCACAGTAAATTTCATCAAGTTTGCATAAAACACTGTATGATGATACTGTAACGACAGAAGGTAAGAGTCAGGCAACAGATCATTTATTAAGGAAATCAACGCATATTTATATATATTTCAGGTACATCACTATGGTTATTTAAGCAAACAAACACAGTCTTCCGATTGGTTGTTTCTCACGTAAAGTTAATCTTTCATCTATTTGTGACTGTTTCTTGAATGTCAAATCCTTTATATGTTAACTGCATCCGCCTACGCAAAGTCTGCTGTGGTCGGTTTTGAATCAATCTTTGTTCACATTTTCTCACGACAAATCTTGGGAACGTAAATATTGACGTAAATTACTGTCTACCAATTTGGCTAGTAGACAGCTCTCACCACAATACTACGTGTTAGTAAGCACCAAAATCTAGATATGCAACTTCCTCGAAAATATTATCAACCATTCAACGTCAAATGCAAGCACCCCACTGCGATGAGCCTTCCTCCTTAGAGCTTAGTGACTAACTGGCTGATAGGCTAATACTGTGGTGAGAGCTGTCTGCAAGACAAAATTGTAGGCAACAATTTACGCCAACGTTCACGTCCTGAATCGGAGTTATGAGAGAAAGCAAGAACAAAGCCTAATCTTCAGGAACTCACCAACCAATCACACAGCAGACTTAACGTGTGCAAATACAATTCGCAGATATATATGGTTTAACTTTCTGAGAAACGGTCGGTCACAAGCAGGAAAACAACCAATCAGAAGAGGTTACTTCTTCGCTAACAACAACGCTAATAATAATGTACATAAAAATTTATAAATATCTGTTGATTTTCTCAATAAATGATCTGGCTGGCCTGGCCCTTGTCTTCTGTCGTTACACTACTATTATCAGTAATAAGGACTACGGTGACATATCACATTAGTTGCACCTAAGCAACAGAATGTATCGGCGATTCAATGCTATTATGCTCGCGCCAACCACGTTGGAGGTCAGCGGTTCCATTCTTGACCGATAGCACACCTAAACCTCGCCTGTAAGTCTAGTAAACAGTAATGTTTGGGTGTGAGTGTAGCAATCCTATCCACTATTGGCTGAGACTTCTAAACGCAAGGCTTGAAGCCCTATGTGTCCACTCGGAAAGTAATGGGATGAAATAATTAGTAGTAGTAAGGGACAGAACAACGTACTTAAAACTACTTTGGAAAAAGATAGAAATTCACCAGCTACCTTGTATACACACACAAATACACAAACACATCAGCCAAATTATCCAATTAACTGAATCCATCCCCGACTTACCTGTTGTGATGATTTATTCATTGAGGCTTCTACAGTCAGATGAGTTTTTTCGTTACCCGACACAAACAAATCTCTAACCTAGAAAATAGAAAGGAAAAAGGGGAACCATCAAGGTATACGTAACGATATCTGTCAAATGATAGAGAATAACTATGTGCATAAAAAATTTGATATTAGAAGATCCCCACCCCCAATGTATGAATACATCTGTACCAACGTGAATGATTTTAAGTCATCTCAATCAATAATTCCCGATCTCAGCGTCTCAACAACCAACCCAGCCATACAAATATATATAGCCTCCTTACATGACTCAAATCGACAATTAAATACTCCATGGTGTGGATCCCACGTTTTAGTTTTTCACCCCCCACCCCAACTAATTCTTTGTCAACTCAATGTGCAACACAACTCCAAGCCATCTTAGTCGACTCGTCTAAATAACCTCATTGACTCACTTTGCCCCCTTACCTCACGCTCGACGCATAACTCTAATATAAGTCACCAAGTTATACCTTCTAACACGGCAGACAGAACGGAGACACCTACGATTAAAGACACGCAGCTAGCATTTTCATATCTTCCTTATGTCTCAAAGCTATAAAGGAGGACACAGAGAACTGCTGAGCAGTACTCACCTCCTTTGATGAATAGCCGCTCGGATATCACGAAAATAGAACTTTGCACCGATGTGCACCAGTTCGAGTCGCCACACTTCGCTTTGCACACAAAGCCAGGGAAGAAAGTAAAAACAAATGTAAAACAGAGAGAATAAACAGAAATATGAGGTAAAAAGAATAGTAACATCGAAGAACAATAGAGTTTGATTGAATATGATAAGTCACAAGGAGTAGATGCATCTGCGCCAGCCACTGAGAATAATTTTGAGCCACATCACCGATAACTGTCTCCAGCCTTCATTGCTTCTTACTATTCTGAAAACCCTAACCGACCAGTTAGGAAGTCTACACCTCCCTACGTTGCTTAAACTAACTGTTGTGGATTTCATTGACTGATAAAGCCATGTTTTCGTTTGACCACCACTGACTCTTTTCCAACCTGACCCTAAGTCAGCTGACATTGCCCGTTGTCGAGGAAGGCCATTGCTAGGCATGAATGTGTAACACATGTCCTGTCGCAGTCGATATAGCTTCACAGCCCCTCCCACCTACCCATCACTCGACTGAGGCCTAACCTCAATATTGCTCAGCCTATTATACCACTTCACACGGGAGATAGAACGCAGGCACCCATGATCAAAGACAGCTAGCCAGTATTTTCTTATCTTCCACTCTCAATGGCCATCATGGCTCACAGCCATAAAGGAGGATGGAGCGGACTGCTGAACACTACACACGCCCTTTGGTTGATAGCCATCAGAGACGGTATAAACTGGTATATACGAAACGAACCTTTTGTATCTGTGCTGAGATTTCGTCAGCGATTAACCCGTTGGCGTTGGCTGATGCAACTTCTTGAATAAGTGAAACGGTCAGAACGCTCTACCACTTCACTCGGTGTCTTTAAGCTAGAAGTCAATGTAGTCCAGTCCTGTAGCATCCATCACCTTACATTTGATGATTGGAGTAAATCGCATGCCCAACATTTGAAGATTTCTGCTCAATGTGTGCTGTATAGAAAACTCTGCATTTTATTAGCCTTCTGACACCTACCATATAAGATGAAAGAAGCAGAACACAAACACCTATAGTGAATGACGTGAACCTTATGACACCGTTCCACCGACGATGATGCATAATGCATTCATATCTAATTCGCTTATCACAACTGATATTATATAGACAGCAGAGAATACATCCAGCGCCAATCACAATCAACGGGAGGGATTTGAAAGAGGTTACTTCATTCACTTATCTAGGGAGCATTGTCTCAAATACAGGAGGAATGGACGACGATGTCAAATCGAGAATCGGGAAGGCAAGAAACACATTCATCAACCTGAAACCAATCTGGAAATCTTCGTCACTCAGCCTGCATCAACAACAAAATTCGGATTTTCAATACAAACGTCAAGTCAGTCAGTTCTTCGATACGGATCAGAAACTTGGCGGCGGGTCACAAAGAATATTTCCAACAGCCTGTTGCAGATCTTCATCAACAGCTGTCTTCTCTATATACTGAAGATCAGATGGCCGACGAGAAAGAATCACCAACAAGAAACTATGGGAACAAACAAAACAAGAACCAATCGCTCAACAAATATGCAGGAGAAAGTGGAGATGGATTGGACACTCACTGAGGAGGCCGCTGGGTGACATCGCGCGTCAGGCCATTGCTCGAGTGGAATCCGAAAGGGAAGTGGCGAGTGGGACGTCAGTGCAAGGGTGACATGGAGGAGATCGTGTGAAGAGGAGTTGAAACAGTATAGACTAACATGGATGCAAATGAAAAGTACAGCAGAAGACAGAAGCAAGTGGAGAGGTGCAGTTGAAGCCCTATGTTCCACTAGGAACCCGAGGGAACAATAATAATACTATAACAATAATAGAGAATACGATGAACAATTGTGAATGAGCATATTCTTACAAGAAGTAGAATAATGCAGTGTTCGAAAACTTAAAGAATTAGGCATTAACATTAAAACATTAGACAGCCACTTAACAGAACAGAATCAAAAAGCACACTAAACACCTGTAGGAGAAATCAATTCTCTCCGATTCCTGTCTAGGAAGAATTACATGAAGAATAACGGGGATCCAATCAAGAGTGAATACATCCGCGCTACTGAGAATGCTGGCTGCCTGGCTGGGTTCAACATAGAACATGGCACCAAAGTGCAGCAGCTCAAGTTACCACGTTCCAAATAGCACACAAAGGTAGACAAGAATATGAGTGAAGGGAATCAATAGAGTTTTGACAAGTATAAGAGTGAAACAGAATGGTATGAGTAATGGTAGAAAGCAATATGAAAGATTACAGAGACTGAATACATCTGCGTAAGCCATTGACAACGATTTTGAGCCATGTCACCTATTGTCTCCAGCCATTGATTCTTAGAGTCACGAGGGCGGGCCGCAACCCGGAAGTCTGCATCTCCCTACCTGACTCAGTTTAACTGTCAAGGATTTCATGGATTGATTGTTGCGATGTTTTTGTTTGGCCACCACTTACTCTTTTCCAAACTGCACCTACCTATATCACCTAGTAATGCCCGTCGGTGGAGGCGATGGTTAGTCATGCGCAGCACGTCGTCTAGCCATCTCAATCTATGTAACTTCATAGCCTCGTCGATTGGTTTTCCCTCTTTGCCCAACACTCTACGCCTAACGTCAACATTACTTACCCTATTATGCCACATAACGTGAGAAAGAGATCATAAACATCTGTGGTCAAAAACAGACAACCTTTTCGTGTCTTCGACTCGTATTGGTCATGTTTCAGAGCCAGCCATAGAGAAGGACGGAGCAAACTGCTGAGCAGTACACACATCCCTTGGTTGATAGCTGGATGTCACGCCTGCGCCAGAGATGGTTTAAGTTGGCGAAAGTAGCTCGAGCTTTCTGGATCCGTGCTGAGATTTCGTCATCAATCAATCCGTTGGTGAAGTGGTCAACATGTTCTATCACTTCACTCCCTATCACGAAGCTAGGAGTTGACGTAGTCCAGTCAGTCCTGTAGCAGCATCTTACATTTTGCAGGGGGCGAATCGCATGCCAAACATACGAAGATTGCTGCTCAAGGTGTTCAGAAGACTCTGCTCTTTTTCGTCAGCATCCTCCCCTAATAGGACTATATCATCTGTTTATTCCAAGTCCATAAGACTATTTCCTGGTAACAAGTCGATTCCTAAGTCGTTAAGTTCAGTTCCACTAGCATATCTATGATGAAGTTAAGCAGGAATGGGGAAAGTGGACATCCTTGACGGATACCACTGGTTGTTAACAATTCAGATGACAATTCCCCATAAGCCCTCTCCGACTCCACTTTTGTATGTGTGAGTGTGTATTTCTAAAGATCATCACATCCTTAACCTATGCATACTATAATGCTGTCAGTGATCCATAACGTCATCCCACGTAAACGTCCATCTACCCACCCACCCATCCAAGCACACACACACACTCACATTATGATACATAAAAATTTCTACTACACTGCCACTGACTATTTTGTTTCCGGACATCGTTTACTTGATAAAAATAAAATTTTAAGAAATAAGAAATGGAATTTCCAACAACTAGTAAGATGACAAAATGATTGATGGAAAAGTAGTAGGTGTGTTGTAAACAACAGATGTGAAGCAGGCGAAACAATTGTCTAATAAACATTTCCCTATTACCAAACACACAGACACACACACTCTCTCTCACACACACACAATGAATGTAAATAACTTCATTTAGAGCATTGCCCACTATTCATTCATTCAGTTATCCCTCTTTTTTAAGGAAATAAACGAAATTGACTGTTGAAATCAATTATAACCCCCCAAAAACCAATGCCTTGAAAATTAATCTGGAGCTCACTGGTCACTGACTGACTCTACAGGATGCAGCTGTCTGAAGTTCTCCTGAGAAGTTGTGGTCACTGTAGTTCAGTTCACCAGGTTGGATGTGTGAGGACAAATACTGACTGACTGACCGACTGGTTTCAACATATATAGAACTGTTGCACAGAAGTACACCAGTTCAACTTGCCAGACTCTATGAACCACACAAATGGAAGACGACAATAAGCTGAAGTGTGAGGAAGAAAGAATTGTAACACGGAAGAACATGGTTATGGAATGCCACAGACAATGAGTACATCTGTGCCAGCCATTTGCGAACCCTTTTGAGCCATATCACCAATTGTCTCTGGCTAATGGGTCCTAAATTCACGACGATCCTACACACCACCCACCCCCTCCCAACTTTCAAAGATTTCATGGATTGATTCCAAGCTTTGGTCTGACTGCCACCTCTGGTCGATCCTATGTCACCTAACATTGTTTGTCGTCAAGGAAGATGATGCCTGCTATGCATGCGTAACACATGTCACAGTCCCTTCAATCGATATGACTTCACAACCTCTCCTCAACTAACACTCGACGCGAGATAGAAGGCAGACACCTATGA